CTCTCCGTCTCCTGGGTGCTTATCAGTATTGCTCACGTTTTCCCTGCTTTACCAGAGCAGTCAAGGTATTTGCATTTCAAATGAGAAATCTACTTCTCTGACATGCAAATGAATGGATGTGAATTATGCATCTATAGTAGGCTGCTCACACAGCAGCAGGACCTGCCCAAACAAACACACTCAAACACGGACACGGGCAGGGGGGATGTTGGAGAATGCCAATAGACGAGCATTATACAAAATGCAGCCATTTTCTGTTTCACAGGTAGCTGGATTGATGACAGGGCCCACATTTTCTAGCCTCAAGCTGCCTGTACGCAACATTTTGAGCCAAGAATAGTCCAACACATTCATTTTTGTATCAAATACTCCCCTCTGTAGGCTTGAACGGTGCTTTTTAAAAGGTTGTTTCTTTTAAAGAGGATAACAGCTGCAGCAAATTGGACTCACAGCTTATATTGGATTAAAGTGGAGACCCAGAAAAGAACGGGTCAAACCTGTAAGACCTAAAGTTACGGGGGAAAGCCTTAATATCCCAAATAAATAAAAAATACTGAATATTTAATGATTTATTTTTACATTTAAACCTTTTACACCAATCCCAAAAGAAATATTTGTGCATAACAATGTGTTCTTGCAGGCAATTAATGTCTGCACCTTTTGGTATAACTGTATTTGTGCCATGGTTTAGTTCTGTAATTATCAATCAATGTTTATTTATATAGCCCAATATCACAAATGTGTCTCAGTGGACTTCACAGTTTGTCAGAATATCAGTATGACAATACGACACCCTCTGTCCTTAGACCCTCTGTCCTTAGACCCTCTGTCCTTAGACCCTCACATCGTACAAGGAAAAACTTCCAGAGAAAACCCACGGTTTAAAGGGAACATGGGAGAAACCTCAGGGAGAGCAACAGAGGAGGGATCCCTCTCCCAGGACGGACAGACGTGCAATAGATGTCGTGTGTAAATCGAAGAGATAATACATTTACAGCGTAGGTAGATTGAATGTTTGGAAATGCATGTGTCTAGATTCTATAGTATAATTATGTATTTTTTCTTATACTTTATTTGACCTCATCTGTTTAGAAGGTTCCATACACAGTACATACATGTGCATACTTTATAAGTTCCCAGTGTGAATCAAAAAGTGCAGCTACGACAGGGAGTCCCTTTCTGACTCACTGATAGTACCTCCACCCCTCACTCAAAGGAAATGTTGGTGTCAGTACAGGAAGTGATTCATCCACCAGCAGGCAGCGAACACTGTCCATTAAAAGCTAGCGTTGGATCTTTTTCTCTCTTTTTGTGACTTTTCTTAAAAACTTTTTGAACAACTTCCGAGTGCTGACGTCAGTAAAGTTGAAATGGATTTCAAACAATTACCACTCACTAACTATTAGAGGCACCAATGTGTGAAATTACCCAGCACCACTTTAAGTCTGATTGTTTCTTTGGACTAAAAATAAAACGGAGTGTTTTAGTGTTTCCCCCAGGAGTTGAATCCTCTCAAAGTGAGAGTGCATTCAAAACAAGCCATTTAACATTAAGCCTGCAAAATAATGCAGTCAACCTTCAAACATTGCAATTTGCATTTACGCTGCTTTCCTTTCCTGTGTCTATCTCTTTTGAACTGAGTGTTTAGATTTGCACTACCATTGACAGCCTTTAGCCATAAGTAATTCAACTCAAATGTCAAACTCCTGGTCATACATGTATACTAGAGACACAATAATGGATAGCTGTAACAGAAAAAGTAGATCCTGTACAGAAAAGGCTCCAAGAATGGCATTACAGGAGATTTGAGTAATAAGACTACATTAATTAAAAATATATTTTAAGATTGAGAGAATATAAAGAAAGCAACTACTATTATAACAACAAAGTCATCGTTTAATGACATTAAAATAATATAATATTTCAGGAAAAACGTTATTAAGAATATAAAACCAGATTTACAGGTCACCTATTATGCAAAATCCACTTCTTCATGTCTCTTCTACATCAACATGTGTCCCCTCTTCTTCATGTCTCTTCCACATCAACATGTGTCCCCTCTTCTTCATGTCTCTTCTATATCAACATGTGTCCCCTCTTCTTCATGTCTCTTCTACATCAACATGTGTCCCCTCTTCTTCATGTCTCTTCTACATCAACATGTGTCCCCTCTTCTTCATGTCTCTTCTACATCAACATGTGTCCCCTCTTCTTCATGTCTCTTCTACATCAACATGTGTCCCCTCTTCTTCATGTCTCTTCTACATCAACATGTGTCCCCTCTTCTTCATGTCTCTTCTACATCAACATGTGTCCCCTCTTCTTCATGTCTCTTCTACATCAACATGTGTCCCCTCTTCTTCACGTCTCTTCTACATCAACATGTGTCCCCTCTTCTTCATGTCTCTTCTACATCAACATGTGTCCCCTCTTCTTCATGTCTCTTCTACATCAACATGTGTCCCCTCTTCTTCATGTCTCTTCTACATCAACATGTGTCCCCTCTTCTTCATGTCTCTTCTACATCAACATGTGTCCCCTCTTCTTCATGTCTCTTCTACATCAACATGTGTCCCCTCTGTGTAAAGAGACTCTGAAAGTTTCAGGAACAAAGATTCTCTCTCTTTTTGATCCATTTCTATAAAAACCTGTCTGAAATGAGCTGATCAGATTTTGGCCACTTTGTGATGTCATAACGATGTTTTGTCTTGTGTAACCATTAGCCAATCAGCAACCAAGGTACCCCCCCCTCCCACCTTATCACCTGAATCTCCTCCTAGAGCACCATTGTGTTCTTTGTAACCAAATCTCTCTCAGAGGGGCGTGGGGAGGGGCTCCTTATTTTCATCTAAAGTAACAGACAGAGAATCAGCACTTTTTTAAACAGGGCTGAAACAGACGGGATTATGGGTAATGCTGCAATGATCTGTTTGGTGTTTCAGCCAATCAGAGACAGGTTCTGTATATATCTGAGACCTATAATATATTGATGAAAAACAGTATAATAGGGGACCTTTAAAGTATAATCTCGAAGAAAAAAAAAGTCATATTACTCTTAAGTCTTAAAAAAAAAATTAAATCGTAAATTACAGAAATGAATTCATAATTTTGAGATAAAAATGTCACAAAATATCTTAATAAATGGAAAATATTTGGAAATACAACAGAAAATAAAGTTGTATGCTTGAAATCTGAGAATCATTTCTTACTAATATGAGGATAAAGTAATAATTGAATGAGAGTAAAATGATATAATATTTCAGGAAGACTTTAATTATGATATTTAGAATAAAGTTGCAAGAACAAGCTAATTTAAAGTCACACTAAAAATTTAAAAATACGTTGTTACAAGCTCTGTCAGCGAGGATTCATTGTAATATTTTCACACCACATTCTCACCAATTAAAGGTGAGATAACTTCACATTTCATTTTGAAAATCTCCCATAATATTATTGCAGTATACAAACAATGTCTGTTAGTTAGCAAAAGCTGCATTTTAACATATAATTGTTAATTACTGTGATTGTGATTATGTGATTGTACTGCAGCTCAAAACCAAATGAAGCACCCAGATATTAAATATTGAACCTGAACGCTCGGCCAGTAAATAAAACATTCACATAAAATAAGACTCGTGCTTGGATCCTCACTCGAACCTCACTCGTTGCTGATTTCTAAAAGTGTACACGATGTTTGAATGACTGAAAGATTCTAACATTATTTAGGGTGACCAGCAGGATGATTACCATACATCTGGTGTACTTGTAGTTCAGAGGATTTCGGGTGTCTGTCGGAGGAATATCGGCAGCTTTGCAGATAAAAGGCTAAACCAAATGAAGCTCCTCCATCACCCATGGTATTATCAAGCTGTGTTGTAAACAGGCACACTTTCTAAAAAGCAGCAACACCCCTCCAACAGGACATTTTATGAGTGTGTGTGTGTGTGTCTTTTCATGTTTCTCTTTGTCTTTTAATTCACCAACACGCCATCTGGTTGAGTTATTTTTATCACAAGGAGGAGAAGGTGTCATTGCCAACTGATTGTACTGTGAATATGTGTATTTTCTGCATAAACACGGACACATTTCTTCCTGTTTTTTAATGAGATGACAATTAGTATCATGCAGTATGAAACCTAATAAGATGTGTTCAGTTGCAAGTCTAGGGTTGTTTTAAAAAACAACAACTTAAATGCAGAAAAACAGCAGGTACATGAAAAAGGAAAAATATGATACAAGTGCTCAACAATGGATATTTGCATTGTTTTCACTTAAAGGGGACCTATCTTGCAAAATGCACTTTTGTACGTCTTTTATATATGAATATGTGTCCCGGTGCGTCAGGGAACTCACCAAGTATCAGAAAACACAACCCTCTCTCTTTTCCTCCGTACCCAAATCTCTAAAAACGGGGCTGATTATTATTTGAATTTTTCTGATGTCAGAAAAGGGGTGCTCCGCCTATATGGGCAACTCTCCACCTATAAGGGGAATGAGAGACCGCTCGAAAGCGCTGGAGACGCTGTAGTACATATGTCAGGCCTGTAGGTGGCGCTGTAGTCTGCCACAAAAGCAGAATCAGCCCTTTCAAAAACAGGGCTGGAAAGAGCAAATAGAGCGAAATGAGGCATGGCTAAAATGCAGGATCTGTTTGGTATTTTGAAAAAAAAACTTCACAGATATGTTTTATATAGGTATGGCTCTACAATATATGTTTCAAATATAGCATGATAGGTCCACTTTAAAATCCTCACATCATGGCAGTTTGAATAGAAAAACACAACTTTTGGGTTTTTTCAACATTGTAGAGATGAACTAAAACACAGTTTCCCATCATATGTATTTGTTGTACTATCTAATAATCTATTTTCTTCTCTGATTCCCACAGAGATCACCAAAGTCATCTTCCATTGTTTCTGCTACAAAAACTCCATTTGTTTTATCCAGCTTATGTCCTTTTAAATTCATTTATCTTATGTCTATGTCGCTGTTTCTTTCAGGTACTAACAGAGGAAGGTTTTGGTGAAATAACGACAGAAATAGCCGAGGAAAAACCATTCTACTACGCAGAGGATTACCACCAGCAGTACCTGAGCAAAAACCCAGATGGATACTGTGGGCTGGGCGGGACTGGAGTCTCCTGTCCAATAGGAATCAAGAGCAAGGTCTAGATAGCCAATCGCAGCCATGAACCATCTCCTTCAGTAAGACTGCAACCAGGAAATGATCTTCAGTTTTCTTTTTACAGAATCAAATACGCAATGAGTTTTAAACATATACACATTTAATTTTTACAAGCATTAAGAAACATTAAGTCCAACATGTATAATGTATAAGACCATACGAACCCTATGCTTCATCTTTCTGGGAATAAGCAGTGATTTTCTGAAGCTGTATCTCAGTTTGCTGAAAGAATAACTGTCTTTGCAATGCAGATTTCTGCCTGATGTAACCTAGCGACATACACTGCAGTGGAGACGCTGATTAAGGCTGTCAGTCTCCTCAGCTCGTTGCTATGAGTAAAATCCCAGTGCCTCAAGATGATGCATAAAGCGTGCATTATAGCATGGTTCCTTTGCAAAGGCTTTACACAAAAATACACCTCAACGCAATTCTGTGTATTAGATACATGATAGTGTTTGTAGTCTAATGAAATAAAGTTAAAGAAGTGGTGAACATCTTACACAATCTTCGCACTGAATGCGTCGATCAAACTAATGTGTTTCAGAGTCCAAACAACTCGTTGCTTTCCTGCTCAGATTGCTTTATTAATGATGATTATTGTATATTGAACTTAAAACTAATGCGGGTTACTTGTTATATAAAACAGATTAAAAGCTTATGAAATCCGACATGTTTCTTTTGTTTCCTGAGTGCTGTTCAAATCTATACACTGAATGTATTATTTTGATGGAAGGTGAGGAAATAACGCAATAATTGATCCTCAGGAATATCTTACAGATCACTTAATATGGTATGAAGTGACCTTTGACTGTTATTTCAGAGATATTTTTGCTTCCTTTTTGCACATTTCCCTTACTGAGTTTGCAGGAGAAAGTGAACATTTCATTAAAAACATATTCAGATATCAGTGTTTGCTTTTTTTGTGGTGTGTTTGCGTTTTGGGGGCAGGATTTAGTTTGACCTTCTGCCGCTAATTTTTGCCTAAAGTATTATTCCGGTCCGTGACTCATCTGTCATCGCTGTTGACCTGTATGCATGTATGTGTGTGTTAATGGCACACACACACACACACACACACACACACACACACACACACACACACACACACACACACACACACACACACACACACACACACACACACACACACACACACACACACACACACACACACACACACACACACACACACACACACACACCACACACACACACACACACACACACACACACACACACACACACACACACACACACACACACACACACACACACACACACACACACACACACACACACACACCAGCAGCAGCAGGAGAGCGTGTTTGGTGCCAGGCCCTCCAAAGCTTGGCATCACCATGAAGAGAAGGAAAAGATGGGTCTTTTTGGAAATGGCAGAACGCCATCTTGGATCTCTGCTGCTTTGGATGGCCTCCATGATGCAGACTGCAGGACAGGGACCTCACCAGCTAAATATCACCGCTGATTTGGGAGATTCTGAGCAAATATTCAATATATTTAACAATGACCAGTTTGGTTTTGAGTAAATTGATTCAAGAGAAGTGAAATCCACCTCATATTTGACCAGATAATGGTCTAGGAGCCAAACGTATATGTGCTTTTTTCTCTTACGCACCACAATGAATGTGCATCAGCCTTTCAAAGTTCAGTAAAATGTGTTTACATATTTGTCAAGGTGAAAAGCCCCAGAATGTAGACCACAAAATACTTAAAGGTCCCATGTCATGACCTTTTCTACTGATCATAATTCCATTGTTGAGATCTACTAAAATAGATTTATATTATGCAATGTTCCAAACTCACATTGGTTTCTCATACAGCATCTCTGTATAGTATGTGTATTCACTCTCTGTCCTAAACGGCTTGTTGGAGCTCCTGACCCCCCCCCCCCCCCCTCCCTGTGAGCCCAGTGTGCTCTGATTGGTCGGGACGTTGCGAGGCTCGCTGCTCAGTGAGCTGGCTTACTGGTGTGGTTTACGGGTCGGCGATACAGCTAGAACAAGCGAAACTCATCCTGAGCACACAGAAACACTCACAGCCGAATTAAAAACAATAAGTATGGCTTGATATTTAGTAAGAAAAATGTTTATAACGCTGTGAGCATGGGTTTGTTTGTTTGTTTATTTATTTAAAAGGACAGTGCACATTCATTCACATTGCTGTAAATGAGCCAGTATTAGCCAGCAGGCTAATTTTCAACTGTTGTCCTTGGCAAGATGTTAAATGGGTCTGCGGAGAGCATTTCTCCGCCATCCCAACTCGTCTATTACCAGCGTTCAGGGAGCTCTATGCAAGTCAATGGGGACTCACTGGCCGTTTCTCAATCGCAAGTAAAACTGCTGCAGAGCAACTATTTCAAGTATACTACGTCATCGAGTGGCGCCGAAGGACTGTTTAAATGCATGTTAAATGCCCAGCATTCTGCGCCACTCTATGACGTAGTATAGTCTACTTGAAATAGTTGCTCTGCAGCATGTGTACTCGCGATTGAGAAACGGCCCCTGTTAGTTAGTCAATGGTTGGGTTCCAATAGTCCATTTAGCTTAGGAACCTTCCTAAAGGCCCTGTCACACTGTCCCGAAATTGACACCCGATGGACACACGATAAAGGAAATGTTCAAATTCGGCTGTGATCGTAGCAACATCGGGCCATTCGTGAGGGCATCTTAAGCCATCGTATGACCGCCGGTGGAGTTTCTCAGGCTCCGGCAGCAACTTAGTGAGCGGCAACTTCGTAAGGCACTCGTGAGGACATCTTGTCAAATCGTGTCATCTTCGTGTTATCATCGGTGCCATCGGGCATTCGCCCTCACTCTGATCGGGGCGAATGCCCGATGGCACCGATGATAACAAGATGCCCTCACGATGGCCTTACGAAGGGCACAATTGACACACGAATTCAACACGAAAATGAACCTTCGCAAGGTCCTTCGGCAATTTTTTGGCATGCCAAAGATTTTGCCACCGCTCACGAAGTTGCTGCCGGAGCCTGAGAAACTCCACCGGCGGTCATACGATGGCTTAGATGCCCTCACGAATGGCCCGATGTTGCTACGATCACAGCCGAATTTGAATTCCTTTATCGTGTGTCCATCGGGTTGTTTTATTGCACAACAAAATCATGTAAATATATTATGTAAATAACCCAATTTGTGTTCTGTGAAACTAAAAAGGATATAATATATTATTTTGAAGGACAGTTGACAGGAAGTTGTTGTTGTTATGGAAACAACATTACGGAGAAAACGTAATATTTTCTACATATAACGACGGATAAAGTAAAGAACAAAGTCTGAAGATATCAGTACAGTATCATAGTACTGTAACACAATTGTTTTTGGTACTTTCATTGCAGTTGTATGTCTTAAATGTAATGTAAATGTTGCCTTCGTGTGTGGTTCGGGGCCATCTTCGTGCGAAATTCACAATTCCATATTCGTGTGTCCATCGGGTGTCAATTTCGGGACAGTGTGACAGGGCCTTAACGGAGTGAAATGACCCGGAAGTCCCTCAGTGGCAGCCATGATAAGTGCCGTTCCAATTATCCAAATGAAAGGAAAGGAGGTTTTAAACTTCCTTTATAACCTCCTTTAGCTTAGGCACCACTGGACCTCCCTAACCGAAAGGAGAGGAGAAAATGCTGCCCCACAATGCATTGCAGCCGCAGCATTTGCCATCACAACAGTCGGCCGTTCACGGAAACAACCGATTATGACCGAGAAATTATATCATGAAAGTTACGGTGCTTATTAAGCATTTTAAAACGTATGTGGTAAATTGCCAAAGTGCTTTGTTTTGAACGTTCATCAGTATTATAATCAAAGAGAGAAATATGAACGTTAGTTTTTACTGAAATGATCAAATAAAGTCAACATTTCACTGAGCTGTGTGGGGTTGTTCAACTTTTAAAAGATGTTTGAATGGTGATGTACACAGTGATAGATGTTAAGGACTAACGTTTATAATAAATACATTTGTATTTATTTTAAGATCTTTTAATAGTTCATACAATCATACGTATTGGGATCATTTGTATTAATGTGGACCGGAGGGAGAGGGTGACGAGCATAAGTTTCACTTTCCTTTTTTATTTCAATTCCAACTTTGGTCATGAAGAATATGTTTCTCTGTTGTCCACGTTCATAAAGCATAAAGCAACAGCGTCAGAGCACGGTGCAGAGTCTCTAGATGAGTCCCTCGTTCTTATTGAACATCCATGTTGTAGTCCGCTGTATAGAAAACTGTAGTTTCCATAGTTACCCCACAGCAGCAGACGCACATTCATGACGTCCGCTGGCGCATCATAAACACGTCGGATAGTGAAAGTGCATTCGGATTCTCTAAAGTACCGCGGTCTCTTCTCCTAAGTCCTTTTGAATTCTCCTATCCACTATTCCTTAACCCTGTGACGTTTCACTCAGAGGTCAAGGAATAGGAGATAGGGTTAGAATTTAGGAGCTGATTTTTGGATGATCGGAACGCAACCAAGGGATCCTGGTGTGTGAGGTGTGTTCACACGTCACAGAACCCAGGACGCAAACAATTGAAAATGAGAAATGTCCAACGAGGCGTTCTGGGGCAGCATAGACAGGTATTTTCTGTGTTAGAGTTTTACTCCCTACATGGTGTACTTTGAGGGTTTGTGACTCTGCAGACCGTTGACATGCAGAAAAAGCTACATAACACACAAGGGGACGGTAATAACCAGACAAGCATGACATGGGCCCTTTAAACTAACAAAACAGAAGTGTTTTCCTGATTTTTTTTATAACAAAAAACCTCTTTCAGTAATCTATCAGGGCCCTCATGGATCCTTTTTATAATACACATGTACACTTTGCAGTACATCTATGTTATCTAAGCAGGATGACATCAGCTGGACTGGATCCCATTTTAAATAAAAGGGAAATATTGGATTACTATGCTATACTCAGTGTGACCCACCCTGGTAACAACACCATATGATTATGCTGCCATCATGTGGCATGTTTAAGGTATTAGCACATGCTAAACCAGCACAGGATTTAAGGTTTTCTGAAGTGACAGAAAGGGAAGAAATCATAGAAATATACACTTTGAATTGTAAACCACTAATGCCCTTTCCTTCTGGCATATTTCTTGGTGAAAATAGGAAAGTGAAAAGGTTGCTGGGGACCCCATTGCTCACAAAAATAAACCTTAATGGTAAAACAGGAAATACAGAACGATTGTTTTCTAGCACAGACAATCTATAAAAACTAACAACTAATAAAGGTAGAGACGAATGATCATAATCTAAGTGTCAACTTGTAAATACGTGTATTTCTGGTCCCCTTTATTAGCGCAAAGGAGCATACAAAAACGTGACAAATTAGACAAATAAAGCTGTAACAAAAAAAGCAGACATTTGAATTTCTGTGACGTTGGCAAACATTCTAAGATGCAAAAAAGGAGGAAGAGAAGAGTCAATAACTCAACCAATACATTTATTTTGAAGGGTCTTACCGGAAGGTCGACCCTTGTGAAGTGAGGCGTGTGGCGCAGTGGGTTATGCGTTGGTGTTCGGTTCAGGGGGTCACCGGTTCAAACCCCACTGCAGTCAGCATGTCGTTGTGTCCCTGAGACACTTCACCTCAAATGGCTCCTGTGGGGATTGCCCACAGTATTGAGTATGTAAGTCGCTTTGGATAAAAAGCATCTAACAAGTGACAAGAGTTGAATATCCACCTGTTAACCTGTTGGGAGGTTCAAAAATAAAAGTTTGTGCCCTCATTTCACTTTAAGGGATTAACACTAGGTTGAATTCAAACTATATGTTCATGGAGTTTTTTTATCACACTAAAATAGGTTGTAACACACATTTTAAAAGGTTTTTCGCCTGCCGTCTTGTCTGCAGACTTGTTAAAG